AGTTTGTTGGTGTTTAAGTAAAAACACATCCACATGCATCTCCTAAACAATTTATCACGCTTCATGCCGTATATTCACTTCCTAGCTCTAATGCCACTGGTGCTCTCACAAACACGCATACCACCAAGTCACCTGCTGACCTTTGCAGCATGCAAGCAAGCAGTAGCTCACTGCAGGGAGGTCCTTACACCACGTACAAGGAACCACCTCGATGCTAAGCCGTAGGCTACCATCAGAATCACCTATATAAAACTGTAGAGCAAAATCCATGCTACATCTTGACTGCAGAAGTAATTCAAGTCATTGATAATTGGTGCCAACTCCTCTCAGGATAGTCTGGTTTCAGAGGAGACATCCACAAGCTCAGTCATTAGGTTGCTCATTTTAGGGAATACATCCCAGTCAAGACTGCGGCAAGGACAAGTCCTCCTCTCAAGGAGCAGTTTCATGCCCTAACTTGTGTCTCAGAATCACCAGGACAGCTACTGTCACTCAGAAAAGAGGGGGCTAAAAAGCGCTGTAGATCTCCCATCAGTCAGCCGTTGCCTGGAAATGGAGCAGTTAAAAGAAAAGCACACAACTCAGGGTAATTCCTATCAAGGTTTAAATTGGGCTCAAGTAATTGAGGCTCCATCTATTAAACAAAATTAAAAATCTCAGAGTTCAGCACACTAAATTTTAAAAAGATGGAGATAAATTTTCCTGCCCTAGAAACACAGCCCTCAGGCTCCCTAACTATTTGCTACAATACTCCTCAGCTGGCAAAACGGAAAGCTGGCAGCCACCCAAAGTATTCACAAAAAGCATTGTAATTAGAAGCTACTTAGAGCACCATATATGCTAATAAAAACATCATTAACTAACTTGTGAAAAGACTCTTCTTAGGGGAGGGAATCTTCACTAACAACAACATAATTGTTGTGCATTTAAATCCTGAAGTCCAGGGCAACAATTTAAAGCTGATGAGAGAAAAGCGAAGACAGGGAAAAAGAGAGACAGTTTGAAGATGGTGGGGTGGAGGGAAAGTGAATCTGAGAAACAGAATAAGGCAGGCTTTTCTGACAGCACACCAGCACAAAGCAACTGGGTTTGCACAGACCAGTACTTAGGCACAGAAAAGTAGAGGATTTTGCTAAATGTGCTGCCAGTTTGAGGTTCTCCCTATCAAAAAAAGAAAGGGGGGAGGAGGGGGGCAGAAAAAAACCCACAAGATAAAAGGATTAAGACGCTCTCTCCTTTTGTGATCAAGGACCATGTGAATTTTCCGCAGCAAAGAGCTGCTGGAGAGCCACCTACCCCTCTCCAGGGTCTCCTCCAGGAAGCATGCCAAGCTTTTGCTCCCACCAAGGCTATCATGGAAACGCTTTTGATCTCCTTTTTTTCTGCATTATTTTCATTCTGCAGAAGTGATATTTGCTCATTATTTCCCCACAGAATTGCAATTCTGGTTCCTTCACTATGCCCACAATTCCAAGTTTCCTGACACAGAAGAAATAAAATATTGCATCTATTATCCATATGAACTAGAAGTTATCTGTTCTCCATGACCAACCTCTGACTGGCTGGCCTGTATATGAAGCTGCTTCAACTAAATCAGGTGTTCCTAAAAGCTTTTAAACCCTACAATGACCAGCCTTTCCGAAGGCTTGCAATATTACAAGTGGCTATCTGAAAGTTGATTTAACGCCTCAAGGGGGTGCTGAGTGCTTCCAGCTGGCTTCTCTGAGCACCCAGGACACGGCTGCTTTTCAGAAGCAGCCACATGAATTTCCAGTTTCTCCCAGAAAACTGGAGGCAGCCAGGAGGCACGCTGGTTCTCACAGAGCATTGCTTACATAAGGGCTTGTGACTAAGGTATTGATGAGTGGTTTCTCTACAGTCTCCAAGCTGGCAGTTTCTCAGTTTGTTGCCCAGACAAACTCATGAAAAAGGAGGAGAACACTCATGAATGAGGAGCACGGACGCCCTGCTGCTGTAATTTCTACCTGTCCCCTCTACCATGCTTAAGGTTTGAGCTTAACTTTCATGGCTTAATAAGGCTTCAGTTAAATCACACCCAGGGCTCCTCTGCTGTGAAGGCTCCACATCAGCATGTGGACACAGCAACAGCTGGGGAAGCACAGAGCACCCTGACCCCAGAATAAGCACACACAAGCCCTATGCTTGGCCTTGCATTTAGGAGAACGAAGCCAAAGGAAGGCAATGTTGAAAGAGCAGGAAGTCCTAAACACAGCTATCAGCATTGACGAAACTTCCAGGCTACAGCAATGGAACATAAAGCCCCACAGAAAAATTGCTAAGAACAAGGGAAGAACAACAAGTCTCAAAGCAGAAACACCACTCAGAAGACATTTATTAGTATATTATGAAAAACAGGAGTTGACCCAGAGGTTGGGCTAGGCTAGAAGCTTTGGGTCATCCCTGTTGTAAGGAGGGTAATGAAAAAGAAATTAACAGGGGGATACATTTGTTCCTGAATAGCAGATGAGAAGGAGCAACACAAGACAAAGTAACCAAAATCCCAGATACAAATTAAAGTAAGGTATTGAGATGCATCATATGTTTAGTTGTAAAATGGGCATGTTCTAGGACAAGACAATGACCTGGAACAGGGGACCTCACCTTGGGAAACTTGTCTGCCTCAGTAGCTAGCACTCAACACCCATCAACTTTGTTTACTGTATCACCCCAGTTTCCGGAAGGATTGGGAATACATTGTACAAACAGAAAAGAAAAAGGTGGTCCCCAGCTTAATGAGGTTACAATTTACAACTAGACGTGAAAACGTGTAACATAACTTACTGTAACACACTCTGAGCAATTTAACAAGGTTTGTGGTGGTCACTGCTCATCATGACCAAAAAACAAAAGAATGCAGATGTTTGAGAAATTATGAGCTTAAAAAAAATTGAGAGGAAACATAAGGGACTAGATAGGAAGGATGGACTTTGTGTCCAAGAATCAGAGCTCAGTCACAGATTTCCTGCCTCAAATGAGGCATCATTTAGTTCAATAAATATGACTTTATTAATATTCACCTATTTTAAAGAAAAGCTTTGAGACTCTTAAGACTATGTGGGAAAACAGATTAATACTTACATCTAAATGTCAAGAACTGAGTTTTGTGTGCTGAAGAGCTAAAAGGGAAAATGAAAAGAAAGCAGAGCAGGGCAGCAGAGGGAAGAGAGAATAAGCAAGGAAACTCAAACCACGGGAAAAAACTCAACCTTTGCTACCTCCTGCAATAATTGCTCAGTTATCAGCTCCAGACCATGCAGAAATGGAACAAACAAGATCCAAGGAAAGGAAATATGCTATACTTCAAATATGTTTTTCAAGATCCATTTTCCCATCATAAATAACCTACTGAACTGCTACGTGTCAATAGATTTCATCAGGACTACTTTACACCACGCTGCACATTGTAAATAAAAACACAAGCCTTTCCTGCACTTAAGAGCAAAAATCTTTGCCTGCAATTCACATACAAGGTATGGAGAATACAGTGGGATGTATGAGGACTGACATTACAGCCTGTATAACCACCTCATTTTACCCGAGCCTAACATGAGCATAGCTACATTTCTCTACGATCAGGAACACTGCAATTTCACAAGAAAGTCTGAAGGTATTTTAAGACATGTGCATGGGGTTTTCCACTTCTTTCAAACTTCTCAAGATAAATGTGAGCATGTAGTAAGAGAACTCTACAGTTCTACAGCGTATTACTGCATGCTAATGCACTGAGGCTATCAAAAGAAACAAATGGCCAACCAGGCTTACATACAGTCAACATAATGCACACAAACTCCATTACAGCTTGTTTTGAAAAGCCAAATGAAAAGCTACTTAATTTAAGCAATTCATGCACTTGAAAAATCAAGATGAAAACCCTAAGTGATTCAGGTTGCTGCTCCTGATTTCCAAAATGCTAACAGCAGACACCATCTGCACCCATATTCAATGTCCCAACTCAGGACAACCCCAGAGTCATAGAATCATAGAATCGTTTGGTTTGCAAGGGACCTTAGTTCCAATCCCCCTGCCATGGGCAGGGACATCTTTCACTAGAGCAGGTTGCTCAAAGCCCCATTCAACCTGGCCTTGAACACTGCCAGGGATGGGGCAGCCACAGCTTCTCTTGGCAACCTGTGCCAGTGTCTCACCACCCTCACAGTAGCAAATTTCTTCATAACATCTGATCTAAATCTACCCTCTTTCAGTTTAAAGCCATTCCCCCTTGTCCTATCACTACAGGCCCTTGTAAAAAGTCCCTCTCCAGATTTCTTGTAGTCCCCCTTTCGGTACTAGAAGGCTGCTCTAAGGTCTCCCTGGAGCCTTCTCTTCTCCAGGCTGAGTAAGCTCAATGCTCTCAGACTGTCTTCTTAACAGAGGTGCTCCAGCCCTTGGAGCATCTTTGTGGCCAACTCTGAACTCACTCCAACAGGTCCACGTCCCTCTTTTGTTGGGGGCCCCAGAGCTGGATGCAGTACTGCAGATGGGGTCTCACAAAAGCAGAGTAGAGGGGCAGGATCACCTCCTTTGACCTGCTGGTCACGCTTCTTTTGATGCAGCCCAGCATACAGTTGGCTTTCTGGGCTGTGAGCGCACACTGCCAGCTCATGTTGAGCTTCTTGTCAACCACCTAAGCTCAGACCACCCACCAGCCCATGTGCTGGAAGTCAAGTGCTTTCCAACACCAACAAAAGCTGCCACACTTAAACTCGATGAAACTAGAGAGGAGCTGGAGATGGCTTGGGCACTGCCTGAATTGTCTTGAGGGAACTGGCTGACAATTCAGCTTGCCTCTGCATTTTCTCCACCTGTGAAACTGGAACCTATATTCTTGGTGACTGCTGAGCACTTGCTTTGCAGAGCCTTGCAAAGATTAAGAAGGTCTATACTTACAAAATCTTCTGAAGATGAAAGTCTTAGAAAAAGTATGCCAACACTTTAGAAGAGACTGGGGTAACTAAGACATACAGCAATGCAATACTCACCCGTTCCTGACCAGCTGTGTCCCAGATCAGAAATTTATGAAGCTCATTCCCACAAGGCACAGTTTTAGTCATGAAGGATGCTCTGAAAAGAAGGGAGCAGCAGTAGTTTGTAACATGACCAGCACTCTGAATATGCAACCTACAGACCTTAGCAAGATCTAACAGGTTAGACCACATATGGGGAAACTCCAAAACCTTGATAAAATGCCTGCAGAAGTGAAAGTCTCCCTTTTCTCAGATAAAATATATGATACCTATGTATCTATTTTAAAAGCAGGACAAAGCCTCTGAGGTTCAGAGGGCATTTGTGCATGGGCCGAGGAACACAAAAGCTCCTGCCACTCACACATAGCTTCTGCTAATAGCTAGCTTCATCTTCTCAGTGATACGGGCCCAAGAAAAAGGCATTTGAAAAGAAAAGCCAGCATCATATTAGGCAACAAATGTGCAATTTTTCAGTTAAACCTAGAATACTGGATCACCAGGGAACAGAAAAGTCACCTTGTGGAATGCATATGGTGAACAAATGGAAAGAAATTCTTCCCCCTCTCATCTCAGATGAATGAAGTCATTGTGGCTTCTGGTTTTTGTAGGGAATGCGATTTGTCTATGCTTTCACAGTGTGATTTTTCTTCTTGTAGGAAAGAAGGTTACAAATTTATAAGCTTTTTCTATATTACAGCATTTCATTTGAAAGCTGCCTAGGAGAGACCGCCAAACTCTGGTAGATTCCCCCCCACCCCATCCTGTGTGGACGTATGATGAACATCTGTTGTGGTAACCTTTTTCCTGGCTCATAAAGATGCATTTGATATAATGCACTGCCATTACAAAAGCACTGAACGATATCAAATGATGTATGACTGATCAAAACATTTCCTGAGAATGATATACCAGAGTTCTTCTCCACAGCCAACTGTAAATTGTTTGAATTTAACAATACTGCACTGCTTAGAAAAATATTAAGTAAGGCCAAAAAGGCAGCAGCATTTTTTTGGTTGTTTTCGGGTGTGTGTTTTCACTTGCCACTCTCCTCAAAGCATTGAACAACACTTTACAGCTTCAAAAACAGGAACTTTAGAGCCACAGCAGCTACTGTAGATTGCAAGGATTGCATATTTAAAACATTTAATTAATTTGGAAGAAAACAAAAATAAAAACTTTATCTGTATAGACAAGTAATATCACCCCCATGCAAGGTAGCCTTCACACTTTAATCTTCAAATGGAAAAAAAACCCCTTTAATTTTCATAATTATCTAACAGAGGGAAAATATTTTTCTATTTTAGCAGAAGACATTTACTTAGCAACAACAACTACTTGTGGAAAAAGGCTGCTGGTGATTTAGAAGCAAAGAACCACTCAAGTTCCCATCAATTCCTTCACTGCAAGCAAGTGTCCTTTAGTCAGTAATGTTATTCATTACTTGCTTCCTTTCTCTCTGTCCATTTTCTCTATTCATTACATTCAGGAGTCCAAAATTGCCCTGGAACTTCAACGTTCAACTTCCAGCTGAGAATCCTTCACGCATTGAAAGGCAGAGCTTTAAAAGATATCGTCTAACCCTCTGAACAACAAACAGCAATCAATAACAATCCTTCACAGACGATTTAAGACAGCTCTAACACACAAGCCAGGTCAGTCCTTCCCACCCAAATTACACCTTCATGATCACTGCATATTAGCTTCCTTTCCTGTAAGAGAACAAGAATTTTCAAAACATTCCTGTTAACACTGGACTTGATGGATTTGTGTCCAAGATGTTAAAAGAAAAAAAATTGGAATTAAAATCAACTACAGAATGAATAAGCTTCTGACAGTCTAACACATGGAAGCTTAGCAGTTTTTAAAGAAGAACAGGTATGAATTAAGTATGCTTAGTTTAAATTGCATATTTTGAGAAAGGAGGGATAATGTGATACATCCCAAACCTAGACAAAAGCATGTCCACAGCTAGAAACAGACGCTGTCCATATTCCAGCCCAGCCTGGCAGGACACACAATGCAGGTACATGTGTGTCAACAAGGGCTCCCCATGGGTCTTTTGCCATTACCCTTCTATGGGGTGTCCTGGTCATTGTGCAGATCACAGCCTCTTGGGATGTGGGGGTTCAGTTCTTTAAGCTCCCAGGATCAGATCTGATACCTTGCTGACCAGTGGGAACTAAAATTACTTTAATCCTAAGGTCCTAAAACCAAAATACAATCTAAAGTGGGAAGCTCTTGACGAGACAAAAAGGACAGCAGCTGAGCAAGACATCTAAGAATCTCTTGGTGTAAGATGGGTGAAATAAAACAGAACAGCTGGAAGTCATGGCCATGCACAACACAAGTTAATACAGCGTGGCTCTGGACAGCCCCAGAAAAGAGGCTATTTCAAGAGACACAGTTGACAGGAGGAGAACGGGAGAGCTCTTTCAGCCTCTCCATAGTAGAGCATGCTGCAACACAGTAAGTGTAGTGCCCCTCTGTATTCCCAGAACAGGGAGAGCAGAGCAGGCTTGGTTTGGAGCAGCCCCACACTCTCTGAACACGTAACATGAGCTGAAAGCCATTAAAGGAGAATAAAGAGTTGAGTGAGACTGGTAAACTGGGGGGAAAAAAGATGTACAGTATTCACAGACTTGAAACTAAGGAAAAGAAAGGAGCTCAGCAGAGGGCTGTGAGTTAAAAAAACATATAGAAGAAGAAAGATACCATGTGTGATACTTACCCAATAGTAGGGCTAATATTGTGGTCAAAGTGGTCCTGGACAAATCGACAAACAATGCTTGATTTCCCAACCCCAGTATCCTGAAAATAAAGGAAAGCATGACAGTGAGTTCAGAGGAGCCTACATATCAACACTTCACCTGATGAAATAGTTCTACATAAGCTGAGAAATTAAATCCCCTCTACTGGCCAGTGAGGCAGGTTAAACATTTCAAAAGAAAAGTGACCACAAGGATTATCCTTTTCAGAGGACAGCATTGTGAATGCAGCTCCCTGGTCCTCTTCCCAACAATCCTTTTTCTCCAAGCCTTGTATTTTCGGGGGTGGATTTTATATTCCTGGTGAAAGGACTGTGGTACTTCAAGCATAGCCATTTACTTGCACAAGAAAATCCTGTGCTGTCAAAGACATGGTGCATGACCCAGCAAAGCCAGAGAGATAATTTCATTCCAGACGGTTGAAAGGGCAGCCAAAGCAAGCTCCCAAAACAGATTACTAACACCAAACACCACTGACAGCACTAACTTAGTGGAAGAAACCTTTTCATGGCAAGACAAACAAGCCTGCTTGGTGGAAACTTTGCAGAGGTTTCAGGTGGTTTTTAAAAGGCAGAAAACCAAAGATGTGGGTCCCCAGAGCTATCCACGTGCAGGTTGTGCTACTAGACTGCAGTGAAACAGCGTTACTTTAAATGCAACACAACCTGCTCTCTACACTGCAGTGTGGCAGGCTGCTTTCATTTGCAGGAACACTCTTTTTCTTTTTTTTCACCCCTACAATCAGGAAGGGAAAATAACAGCAGTACAGTACTGGAATAAAATTCAGAATAACCTGCGGAGTAGGGGAAAGCTTGACATTATGCAGAAATACTGGTTTAGGCATTTAAGATACGAACAACTCCCCCAAAATTCAGCATTTTTCAGTTTGCCTCTGTTATTCCACAAAGCCTTGGATGGCAGGTAGAACAACTTAAATTATACAGAGATTTATCAAGGAAGAGGAATAGCAATATTGCTATGTCTCCCATAGAATTGCAAAGAGCCTCCTTAGAGATGAAAAGGATGCCAGGAAATCGATCCTGACCTTTCCAAGACATTAACAATGACAGCCCAGGGTCCAATCTAACTCATTAAAAAGTCAACAGAAAGTTTTCTATTAATTTCGTTGGAAGTGATTGCAGAACTACCAAATTGCACCTTGTAGTTCCATCTGCATCTACACTTTAAGACACTTGACTAATTTACACAAGCTTCTCAAAAGGTGCCAGGTCAACACAATACAGTTTGTTGAGAGCACTGCGTACCCAGCTATCTGTTACAAAATGCAGCCTTTTCCCACACTTAACTACATGTATATGAAAAATAAAAAAGCCTTTCCTGTAATCAATTTTCCAGTATTTTATTTTCTTTTTGCATATGAAAAAAGCCTGTATTTAGATTTCCTTTTACCATGCTTAAATGAACTCTATTGCTACTGCAAGCAAAGTCTTTATAGACAGCACTTATTAGAAAACTGTCATTTAAACTCTCATATTTAATTCAACGCTGTCCTTAGTCAGCTTAAAAGCCCTAATAAATGTTCACGCTACACAGACGGTTGTTTATCTACCGTGTTCAATCAATAGGAAAAAAAGATCTAAGACAGGAGCAGTGTATAAAAACAGCCACGTAGTCTTTGATCAATAGCAGCAACACATCCTGTTGCTATTCCCAAATTTGGCCTTCACTATCAATTCCAGCTGACATCTCTGTATAATTACTAGACCAGGGTGGCAGAATACATTACAAAAAGTGCTCTGCACTGAAACTGAGGATCTAATTATTATTCCAGATTTTAAATGTTGTGGAGAAACCAGAACTACCATCCACTGGGTCTGAGAAATTACATTTCCCTCTTGTGGGGACAGAGTTTCTGCCACTGTATTCTAAGCTAGGTATTGACTCCCATGACCCAATGATGCTTTAGTTTCATCTGCATCCCTCAGCTTCCTTGACAGGTCACTCAGAAGGGCAACTGCAATTACAGCTCCTGAACAAGAGGAGCTGATTCTCTAGCAGCAATGTGACATCCACAAGTGTGGATTAAAGCTTAGCTCATTTTCCTGGAAACTCTTACCTCTTCATCTTTCATGGCTCTTACTAATGTTTCATGCTAATGTTAGAGGAACTTTAAACATTTCTATTGCTCTCGCATCCCTCGCAATGGGCACAGCTGAAGTTGAGCATACACCAGGCATACCAATAGCCCTCAACAAGCTGAAAGGCATTCATAACACTTAGCTCCTGGGGTTGCTTGGACTACTGAGAGGGCTAAATTTAACCCTTGTGTAGCTGCAGTGAAACCAATGGATTTGGACCACAAATAAACCTGGTTTTAGGACGACCACTGTGGCAGCCAATGACCAGCGCTTTCCAGGAGCCAGGCAATTTATGGCACCAAGGGGTTCAGCTAAACAAGCACTTCCAGCTTCTGCTTTGTTGCCTGGAGGATACAAACAGCCAGCTACTGGAGTATAATTAGAGCACAGAGAGGAAAGAAGTAAAAGAGAAAAAGCTTCCTACTTAAGGCAGTGATTGTCATTCCATCGTGGGATTTGGAACTACCTAGGCAGTCCATGTTACTGTACTCGCAGTACATAATAGATTTTTTACATGCTCCAATCGTTTTTTCTTTTTTGTTTTACTCCATGTTGGTGTACATAAAACATCAAACATACACTAAAGAATAACATCTTGTCTTATCTAAAAGATCACAGTGGTATTGAGCTGAGTGAATTGGACAAGTCTCAGAAACTGAGAGCATGATCTCAGGAGTTACACTGCACTTTAAGGAACAGATATTGCAATTCTTCAGAAAAATCCTTATCCATGGAAAATCCAAGGGTTTCAGCGCTACTGATTGACTCATCACAATCAAGAGCATACTCCATGAAAGGAGTGGCAAGAAAGGAATAAATACGAAATAATTATTCTGAATCAAGATGTTCACGATGCTCATGGGACCAACTGCATGCTTTGCTTTTCTCCTTTCTTCTTCAGAAGCCTTGTAGCACACTTACAAAATAGCAGTTGTACCAAGATAAGCAAAAGGGGTGGTGAGGAAGGAAAGGAGTAGAAAATGTAATCCACAGTGAGCAAGCTGCTATTACTTCACCACAAGTAGCTACAACTTCAGAATCTCACACTGGTCAGCAAAATGGATTTGGAAATCTGAAGCAGTATCAGATGATTCTGATAAACACAAGGACCCAGTGCAAGCATGACTATTTCCTGATTTTCACCCATTAACCCTCCGATGACGATCTCTGTTCTTCTAAATTCCCTTACTCACAGATAGGGGCATGAGGATTTTCAGAGCACTAGAATGGAGAGCAGCGTGCCACAAAACACAGTGATTCCACCCACACTCCTGCTCACGGAGAAGCACCCCACCTGGCTCTTCTCAGCTCAAATTACTGTAAAGGAGATGAGACAGTATTTCAAGCCAGCAGAATTGCAGGATGCTGGCAACTCATTTGCAGGCAATCAACAACTGAGCTGCTGATTTCTTCTGGCTGATTTGCAGCAGCACCGAGGAAGATTATATTAAAAAAAAAAAAAAAAAAAAGAAAAGAAGAAGAAAAAAAAAGAAAGCTGAAAAAGAAAGCAGAAGTTCAATACGAGCAATATATCAAAAAAGAAAACCATTTTCCCATTACAAATAGGCAGTTGGCATATTCCTCTGTCCATTGTTCCAGATGCATTTATCCTGATGGAAAAACTAATGCAGAAAAATTTAGCTCTTTAATTTAAATCTGGATGTCTCATTTATATCTTTGCATAACCACAGGACCCGGTCCTCCAAGTACTTTCCCAAACTGTAGGGAAATATACTACCCTGTAAACACATCCCTGATTAGGATGCTAGTCTTTAGCCTTAATATTATAACAGCTTTTAATAGATTCAGATGGGTCAAGCCCTATTGTGCTGAACAAACTAAACTCCTCATGTAAATTCTGTTTACATCTGAAAGAGAATAAATGATGAATTCACAAAAAATTCCACATGTATCGTGACTGATGACTAAACAGCAGCCCTATAATTATGCACAGTGCTGCAAGAGCTTTTTTATTCTTGACTACACAGAATCTTTCTGTGCTATGTTAACACATAGGGCATTTTTAATATATATAAAGAATTAGGAAAAAACATGCAAAAATCCTTTTATGACTCTAGGATTTTGAGAACATAAATAAAACAAGAATACTTCACATGAGGAAATGGCACATTCACATAAGAATGAACATACTTAGTTCTGTCCTCCCACTTGCAAAGTAAGAAAAAAAAATAAAAGAACATCTGGCTTGTAACCACCACAGATCCCATGACTAACTTCCCATTTCGGATTTAAAAGAGGGTTGAGATACCCTGGAAATGACTGCCACAAAAATCTGCATTGAGAAGTAATGGAGAACTGATCTCTATAAAATAGGATCCAGCAAATGGCTCCTTTGGAAGGATGGGAGTTTTCCCATCAGCTTAGATAAAGCCAGGATTCAATCCATGGTATTTCAATTTGTATAGATTTTTACAGATTGAAAGTGTCTGCCTTTCGAAAGCATTTCTTGTAATAACCAAGATTCATTGAGACACAATCTACAGGCAGAGGTCTCATTAAAACTGTCTGGGTTTAACGCACATTAGTCTTACACAGCAGAAGAATGATCATGCCCTAGCAACCTGGAGGGTATTAATACCAAGTGCTCAAAAAGAACAGGTAAGCAGATGTAATTTCAATAATAATATGAGAAACATTTGAAAGCAACAAGTCTTTACCCTTTCTGATAAGCAACAAACTGATCCCACAGCTGATGTGGTTTCCACAGAACTCAGCAGGACTCCCCTGCACCTCACAAGGGAACCCCTCAGAGCCCTACTGTGCTGGAGCTCCCGAAAATCTGACCTACGAACCCACCCAAATTTCAAAGCATCATGAGCATTTGGCAGGTCAGCCCTTCCTCCGAGGATCCCTGATCACGGCGGTTTAAAGGGTGTGACCAATGCCACCAGGGCTGATTTAGTGTAACCCCTCATGGCATAGC